TCCTGCTCCCCTCCCCCCTCCCCTGCTCCCCTGCTCCCCTCCCCTGCTCCCCTCCCCTGCTCCCCTCTCTTGCTCCCTTCCCCTGCTCTCCTGCCCCCCACTCCTGCTCCCCTGCTCTGGTCCCCTACACCTTTTGTTCTTGAGTACTACATCTTTCCATCTGCTCCTCCTTGATAAGAACTTGCTGCAAGCTCACTACACCTTCTCCCAATGGCCTCATAACTCTTCTCCTGCCAGACTTCATAAATGAGGGATAGATGCACATGCCTGGATGCTCTCCCTCCACTCCCCTCTGGACTCTAAAATATGGCTTCCGAGCACACTGTTGTACAAAGCTGCTTTTCTGACTGTCACCAGGGAAGTCTGTTCATTGTCTGTCTGCAGTTCTCTACTTTCAATCTTTGCATCCTTCCTCATTAAAACCATCCTGGTCATTGACATATTCAATGAAGGGACACAGGCTGTAGGACAACAATAGTAGCTAGCCCTGTACAGACCAGCTTACTATCTCATGGAAAGCTGTTAAGACCCATCTCAGTGTCGAGGACTCATGCATACTGTAAATCAGATAAAATATGTGGGTCATGATGCAAGGTCTGACCCAAGGCACATCTCTAGAGTCTGACTATACCTCTCACAGTTCCCCTAGACATTTTTGCTTTCACGTTAATTCTACCTTGTCTGAGAAGCCCATTCCTACATTCTGTACTGGAGCTTTGATTCTCTCTTTTATCCCTACCTGTGACTAAGTGCTGAGATTTCAACTCTGGATTGATAGTCTTTCCATCCTCTCCCTTAGTGCAACAAGGGTTGACATTTATTGTGACATTACAGTACACTGAGATATGCCCCAGTACTTTCAAAGATGTTCCAGAAATAGCCCTGAATCCACTTTTGCAAAACATAATTCCATTTACCTTCCATGGATAACCTTCTCCTCCCTTCTTTGCCATCACATGTCCAGCTACCAAGTTATCAAATACACGATGCTGTCTGGAATGCTGCTTTTCCTTCAGCATGGTGGTCTGTCTGAGAACAAATTCTGCTTTGCTTCATGCTGATGTCCCCTGCTGGGACCTTCATATTGTAAGTGGACTTGGATCAATAAGAAACATAGACCCCCGGGCTGTCCTGTGGCTAAGAGCCAAGGATGTCAAGGTCTCCATGAACTGTCAAATGTACCCTGGAGCCCAGAGCCTTGAGCCCCAACTTACTTATAAAGTTTCCAGCGAATTCACCAAATAAAGATATTTTGACAAGCAAGGGGCATGGGGCACGACATGCCAGGTACTAATTGTGTGTTACTTTCACTGCCTCCAAGATTTGCTGGTCATCTGATTTCTTCAATACCTGATTTAAAATGATGGCTCAGTGCTGTTCACCATGGCTCTGTGAAGAAGTGGCATTTCTTCACAGATTAAGCTGAGAAAAATGTGTCCTTGTTTTAATCTGTGGTCTCCCTAGAACAGTTTTGTCTCTCGCCTCCAAAAGTGAACCCACAAAAAAGCAGAGGCCATGACTTAGCTCCTGTTTTCCTAATGCACAGCCATCACTTCTAGTTTACTTACTTAGTCATCCATTCAATGAATGTGTGTTACATCTCTACTTTATAGCAATCCTGGGCTGAATGTTGAAGATACAGCAGTGACAGCCCTACCCTCCAAAAACATGAAAACAAAGCCCAGAGGTGAGTGCTGAGGGAGTGGAGGCTGATGAGGAGAATAAGGAAGAATAGCAGATTTTACTCCTATCTCTTGTTTCCTGGATATCTCCTCCCTACCACTCCTTCACCGCCCTGCCATTTCACTTACATTCCCACAATAAGTTCCAGGCCTGCAGCCTCACCATCTCCAATTCATCCTCCACGCCATGGTCATGGTCATCACTCTCTAATGCACATCTGATCATGGCTCAAACTTTCCCAACCTTCAAAGGCTTCCAGGCTTTTACATAAAATTAGAGCTCTTTTGCTTGTGGATGGGGGGGATTCCAGTCACATGTGATTCCTGCTTATTTCTCTGACATGCTGTTATTCCACTCCAAGGAGATAAGACCCTGCATCTCTTGCTGCAGTCACACAAAACTCCTTCTGGGACTTGCATACTCACTCTCTGCATGGAAAGTCTTTCTCTTCTCCACATCATTGCTCAAGACTCATCTCACGTCAAACTCCCCAAGAAACCTTTTGATCTTCCCACCTTCCCTTTGCTAGAAGCTTTCCTTTTGTGCTTTTATAGCATCCTGGCCATATCTCTGTGCAAACACTCACTCCATAGCATCAGTAGTTAATTAGTGTCACCCACATGCTATTCTTTCCTGTATGGCTCTAGTCACATGGGATGACTTACAGTTACCCAATTTATATCAAACAGTTACACATTCCCTCTGTCTGGAATGACCTTTCAATCCTTCCCTCCCTGTAAAGACTTTCTTTTTTTTTTTTTTTTTTTTTTTTTTCAAAATATCCCAAGGATCACCTAAATTCCACAGGGGTAGAAAAGCAAATCACCAACTTGTTATACTGTTGTCACTTTGTTTATAGTGTATCAATAAGTTAGTTATTCACCTGAGGTAGGTTCCTCCTTAAAGGTTTGAACCTTTTACTTTCTTTTGTTTTGTTTGTTTTATTTTGTTCCTTCCTGGCTTCAGCAACAAGTACTGGTTTGTGTTTCATAAATGTTGAGAAAATTCAGAGGGAAGGAGTAGAGTGGAATGCAGAGACATCGAACTCTGGCTGCTCCATGTGTGTTAATCTCAGATTTACCACAACACTGTAAACACTTTGAGGGCCAAAGCTATGTTATATATTTTTACATGGCTTCTGGTACTAAAGCAGGACACATGTTCAGTAAGCACCTATCATTGAAATCTGTGTGTTGTCAAAATGAAAAATGTTGCAAATGAAGGAAGACGGAAGGCACCAGAGAAGAGTAGATGAAGAACCCCAGTAAAAAGGGTGAAACCCATCTTTTCTTGCCAAGATTTTTGAGAACAATGATGAGACTGTCACCCTGAAGTAAAAAAGAAAGAAAAGTGTGTGTGTGGGGGGGTAGGCTGACAATCATTTTAAAACTGCCAATTTCAACTGAAAAATACTTCTGGGAAGGTATTTTCTTTCTTGGTTATTTGAAAAAGGACCAAGGTAAAAAACACTTTCAGATTTCTCTCTCACTGAACACTTTTTTAATAGTCATAAAGCCAGGTTGTTTTAATCCTATGTTTCCCTTTTCTCGATACCTCCCCCACACACACACACACACACTTCAATTTTCCTTTCTTCTTCCAAACCTCCCCTGCTCTGATGTGTGGACAAGACAAGGTCTCACCCATGAAGCTCATAAAGGCTATAATTTTCTCCCATTTCAAAGTCCTAAAGTTTTCAAAGCATAACTGCTCCCTGTTGGAATCAGCAGAGAGAGGTGGCCTCCACTCGCCATCTGGACGTGAGAAAAACCCTCTTTACTACCATCCAGTAACTGGCACCAGGTCCCAACGTCCAGCATTTCTTCTGTGAGCACCAGCTAGGGCCTCCCTTACAAACTCAAGACTCTGGCTTCCAGAGAAGACAAGACTGTACCCACGTGCATTCACCCCACCTTCCAGTCACAAATACGGTGGGATGGAGAAACTTCAATCCATACACTTTCTATACCTAAAAACAAACCTGTGTTTATGGTAAAGGCAAGCCTGGGAACAACCCAGCCTTCCGTGTACCAGATACCTCACCAAAGGCATCCCCAGATCCCATTCCATGAACAGGAACTGTTCTCATCCCAATCACAGTCCCAGAAAGGAGGTGAATTCAGTGAAGGTTTTACAGTGCCAGGCACTGGACTTCATCCTGCCGTAACTGGTTTCCTCCTTGCCTCTGATGTGCCCCTCTTCTATTCCTCTTTGTCCTGGTTTTACCTGCTCACCCAGTGTTGGCTACCTCAAAGGGCCATTAGATTTCAGGGTTTCCCTGGGTTCAGGCAGACCCTTTGCTAGAGGAGAGCTCGTTTCAGCAAGGACTGGCTTTCTAAAAGGAAATTCTTTTCTCAGGACCTTTTCCCTGGTGCAGAAGAGAAATACAGCCCTGCCGGTCCACCAACCAGATAACCAGGTGGTTGGCGGCAAAGCATCTCCACAGAAAAGGTTGAAAGCAAAAAACGGTAAGCCCACAAAGACAAATAGCAGCCCGGAATCCCACACATATTCCACACGTGTGTGCTACCAAATCCAGAACAAAAATAAATTCCCAGATTCGCTTGACATCATTGCCACCACAGCTGTCTCAGTCCAGCCCCTAGAGCTGCTGCAGTGGTGTGCGTGAAGACAGACCTCCCCCTCTCGACCCCCGCCCCCAGCAAATACCCTGGGAGGTGATTATGCCAAGTCTTTCAGTAACTCATCATTCATCCAGCACTGACCGGAGCCTCACCCTAGAAACTCTGTCACTGGTTTCGTTGAGAAAGCCCATGGCTATCCCCATTCTCCAGGTGACACCTTTACTATGTGCCTGGAGCTCAGGAAAGAGAACCTCTAGCAGGTGCCCACGCCTGAAGCAAATCAAAGGCGATGCTGACAGCTAGGGGCTGAGGAATCTCAACCCCTGTTGGGTGGGCAGCTTAGATATCAACTACCTGCAGGTCTCCGGACCCCTACTCCCACCCTCGCGCTGCCTCTGGGCATCCCAGCCCAGAATGCAGTCTGAAGGGCGGGACCGGACAGAGAGAGCGCCTCCACGCCCCCTTTGTCTCCACGTTTGCCAAATGACAGGAGAGGAAAGTTTACGAGCCTGGACAGGGTAGCTTCTGGTTCCATCTGGCACCTCGCAGGAGACTACTCTCCCTGGGATCGCCCTTTCCTCCCTGAAACAAACAGGGCACTACCTTGATCTGCACCTTGAAACCTGCAAACCAGGCGTGGGCCACCTGCATCGTGTCGTCGGGTCGGAACCTGCCTCTTCAACCCGGTTGTCCAGGCTCAGCTGTCCCCAGGGCTGCAAGCATCACACTCACCTCCAGTGGCCGAGCTTCCTCCCTTGCGCCCTATTGGGCGGCCCGGCTGCGGGCAGCGAGGTGCATTCAGGCAGCGACTGCAGAAAAGCTCCCCGGGCGCTGCTGCATTCCGCCTGCGTGGGAGAGAGAGCAGGCGAGCGCGCGGCGCGGGCGTGTGCAAGTGTGTGTTTGTGTGGTGTATGTGTGCGTGTGAGTGTGTGTGTGTGTGTGTGTGTGTGTGTGTGTGAGTGTGTGTGTGTGTCGCTCGCGCGCGCGGGAGGCGAGAGTAAGCAGGATCACAGATTCCCCTCAGCGACCATCCCGAGCTCTGCCTCTTCTGCCGCTTCCTCTCGCCTTTGGGTCCTGGTTTTGGGGTTTGGGATCTCTGGTTTGTTTAATGAAAGAGAAGGAGCAAAAGGCTGGAGGGGAGGGAGCATGGGGGGGGGGGGACTGAGAGGCGGGGAGAGGGCCGCGCATGCTCAGAGAGGGGCATCGAGCTTGTTCTCAAGAGCTGGGGCGTGAAGCCTGCAAGGTTGTGCCCCTGGGAGTAGCGGGGGCTCAGCGGGGTTCCTAGAAGGCAGCAGGGGGAATCCCGCTGCCTAGGTGCTCACTGCTCGGGGACTCCCGGGCTCCCTCATGCTGGAAGTCACTGGCGGGATCCCCACCCACCTAGGAGCCGCTTCTGCTGCCGCCCGTCTTGGGTAGCACCGCGTTCTTCTTGCCTTGAATATTTTTAGTCCTTGTTCGAGCAATCCCAGGGGCTAGCGTATGGCATCTGCCTAGGGATCCACAAGGAAACCAGGGCTGCGGGACTAAAATGAGCTTCTTGACTTGCGTTTCCTTCTTCCCTGCCAACTTCCACTCTGTGACTAGCAAAGGGTGAGCTAGGCAGTTCAGAGTCGTCCAAACAGCTTTGATGGCTTCAGGACAAAAAAGGCACATAAAGGAGAGAGGAAAGAAAGTGAATCACCGTGTACCCTGGATTCAGCCCCCTTGGGTGTCAAGATTCGATGGAGAAGATTCTTGCCTGCTCAAGAGGCCAAAAGAACAATGCAGCCATTGTCCCACTTGTCTCCAGTGTGGAAGCAATTGCAGGCTTTCATCAGTTGGGGCTTCTGGCCCCTCTGCTAAGTGGAAGAACTGTCAACTTAAGAAAATCCAGTAAGAGAATTTGAGCCTGCGAAGGTACAGTAACCTGAGGCCACTGGACACCAGAGGGTGAGAGGCTTTGCAAGTGGAGTGGAAACTTTGTCAGTGATGTCTGTGCACAAAACAGGCAAATGGTTAGTATGCATTCACAAGCTTCCATTTTCTTCTCACTGTATAATCCCACAGCAGCACATACACACTCATCTTCTCCCCAACTTTAGAAAGACACCCCAAACAAGGAACTTTCTGCAAAGATTCTCCTCTCCTCTGCTCACTCATTTTCTGTCCCCCAAGGAAGAAACACGGAGCACTGCCTCCTCTGACAAATGTTTTCCAAGCTTTCATTAAAGATCACTCCGGAGTACTTCCACTAAGCACTGCAAGCAAGCAGATGCCTTCTTGCTGAACTGTGACCCGGGTCCCATTCATCATCCCAGTAATAATGCCAAGTGACACTTGAACAGCGGGACAATTAGATCAAATCCTAGAACACACACAGAGAAGAGAAAACAACATGTCTAAATACCACAAACAAAAGCAAAGTTCAGGAGGGAAAACACAAAACAAACAAACAAACAAAAAAAACCCAAAAAACAAAAAAACTGAGAGAACACCAGGGTAGAAGGTTCCTATAAAGAGAAAGTGTCCAGGAAGTGTCACAGGTGGCAAGTACCTCCCCTTGAGGTTCATTAAAAATAGAACTGAGTCCTTTGCTTAAAGGACAGTGACTCTGACTCTCCATCCATCCAGAAGGGAGATCGGGATCTCCAACAAAACAACTGTGGTATATTTGGGACTCCTATCCATGTCTGGCCTTTGTTTGTTTTGCTATTGCATTATTCAGAAACATTTGGGATGAATTTGCCTTCTCCAGGCCCTTTGCTACAATTCTCTTTAAAACAGTGAACAGTGTTTACAGATATTTCCAGGTGCTTGTATTAGCAGGGCCAGCCACTATGCTCCCTTGAGTCAGGGTATCCTGAATACCACATTATGTAAGAGGTAAGTGGGGCCTCTGACTGAATACAAGAGCTGGTTGGAGCCAGGCATTAGTGGCACAAGCCTTTTAATCCCTTTAATCTCAGGAGGCAGAGGCAAGCCGATCTCTGTGATTTTAAAGCTAGCCTGGTTAGTTCCAGGACAGATTCTAAAACAATACAGAGAAACCCTATCTCTAAAAACAAAACAAAACAAAAAAAAGCTGGGTGAGACCCAGACTGGGGGGGGCTGGGGTAGGTAGGAACAGTCTCAACTTTCCAGCTCTATCTGTAGAGGCAGAAGGAAGGCACCTGTAGTCGTAATACCAAGAAACAACCAAGTCTTTTGTGCCCAGAAGGAAGGGACGGTGTTTAACTCTGCCATCAGAGACAGCCAATTCACCAGTTTCTTAACTTTTTTTCTATTTCATATATTTATTTAGTGTGGGGTGGGTGTGTGGACACAACTGACATATCATATCTGGAAGTCAGAAAATAACTTTTGGGAATCAGTTCTCTCCCTCCATGCATGATACATGGATTCTAGGGATCAAACTAAGGTTGGCTTGGCTGCAGACACCTTTATTGCTGAGCCATCTCTCTGGCCCCACTTCAGCATCTGAAAGTATCAAGTAGCATCAAGGTCAAAGGTGAAGGGAACCTTTTGTATTTGCAGCTGCAAAACAAATGGAATTCTTTTATATTGCTTCTACTACAGGACTCAAAATGGGGAGTTCTAGAACAAAATCTCACTATCTAAGGAGTGTGGGAAATTCAGGGGGGTTAGCTGTGACGATGTACACAGTGCCTACCATGCATGGCTCTCTGCAAATTGCAGCTATTAATGTTTTGGTTAACATTTTCATTACTATGAATTTTGTTGTAACCTGAGAGATTTTCTTTCCTAAGAGTATGCAAGTAAAATAGCTGAATACCACAAGCTACCCAATTTCCCTTCTGGCTTCTTCCATCGCCCACTCACCCATCACCCTAATGTGTTTAAGTAGATATAGTGAAAAGAATACTATGAAAAAATGTGGCAATGTAAGTAGTGCCTAATTCCCTCACTTGCCTTTCTATACTCATATATAGGCATAAATGTGAGGCATACTATGTCTCATATTCTTCATAATATGAATAAAGACTCCCCTTGCCTAGCATGGTCTCTTGGAAATCACCAGTTCCATTGGCAATCAACGTTGAAAAAATATTTACTTTCACTTTTTAAATTAACTTACAAAGTAAGGTTTCGTATGGGATTTTCTCAAGCACATTTCATTTTGGATGATTACTCCCTAGCACATACTCAGTCCTCATCTCACTCCTTCCTGTCCCCATGGTACCCTGTCACCCCCACCATTGCCCCTTCAGCTTATTCTGTTGTCATCACCACTTCTAAGTCCCCTTCTCCCAAGTTACAATGGTCCTTCCTAGTTTCCTGGCCTTTATCTATATTTATTCCTATCTAGATACACATGCTCATACTCAGTAGCTAGAGGCTAGGATTCGCATGAGAGAGAACATATGGCATTGGGCTTTCTGAGCCCGTGTTACCTCAAGTAATGTTTTCCAGTTGCATCCATTTTCCTGCAAATTTCATGAATTCCTTTTTCCTTTACAATTGAATAAAAGCACACTGTGTATGTATACATTTTCATTATCCACTCACCTGCTACTAGACAGCATATTTTTCTTCCTAAGTTTATTTATCAAATGTTACTCCTGACTGTAAGAGCTATATCAGTAATAAAAAATTTTCTGTCAGAACTATGACAAAATTATTTCCACAGTCCTTTGAATATACAATAAGCAATTTAGCACACCAGGTCTGTTTTTTTTATCTTTCCTTCATGCAGCTCAGTTATGAACCACTCGAAAGAGTATTTATGTTTTTGGTACCTTGAGAAGTAAGCAAGTGGCATATGTTTAGTAAATGTTTAAAGGGTGAGTGACAAATATATACTCACAAATTAATGTATGCTGGTAAAACGTTGACTATGAAATAGACTTCTGAGTTCAGTAACACTTGACACTTTTAGAGATAATGAGAGATAATGAAGTCGTAGGTACAGGTTTTAGGGTTGTGTGTGTGTGTGATTGTCTAAAAATGGAAGTTGAGATGAGAAAGGCAAAGCAGGTTTCTGAAGACAGTTTTTATCCCCTTGGAAACAGATAAATCAAGCCCATTCTAACTTTTATCTAGTTCAGAAAGAGAATAAATTTGGGCTCAATGTGTATGATAGTCAAAGAGACAGATTCATGCTAGACAAATTATCCACAAGAATTATTTTCCAGTGTGTCAAAATGCCTCTACTAAGAAAAATGAAATTCTACTTAGAATACTTAATATAGAAATAAATAAAGAATACATAATCAAAGAGAAGAACCGCCTCATGGGTACCAACCCAGATTTTCTCCTCTGTCATGCATGAAAGTAAAAAGTTGGTTTTATTCTCATGGATAAGAGTGGCGCTGGTGGGGGTTAGAACCACAGGAAGGTTTTAACACTGGTCCCCATAGAAGTCATGGAAAGGACAATGAGAGGATAAGGTGAGTAATAATATATTTGTCTCCTCCACTCACACAAATCTAGTAAGAACTCACTGAGACTGATCTGAAAAATGAAGAAGATCAAATGACAACAGCTTAAGTCCTTTGTATCCTACAATCAGAAGGAGCGGACCATGAATTTTGCCACATTCTATCAATCCTACAAGCCTGGTTTCTCCTCAAATTACCTTAATTTAGTCTTCATCTTAGGATAACTGTATTTCTAAATAAAATGCTGGCTAACCTACAACTTCAGAACCTTTCTCTTACTCACAGATTTTTATCGTCCATCTTGAACCCTGTCTGTGGTGGTTTGAATGAGATTTACCCTCATGAAACTACTTGGGAAGGATACAGATGTTGTATGGTCTTTTTAGAGGAGGTATGTTATGGGGCAGTATTTGAGTCTCCTAAAGCCTCCTGCCATCCCCAGTGAAGCTTGTGCTTCTTCCTTTTTGTGATTGAAGAAGTAAGCTCTCAGCTGCTACTCTGGAGGCACACCTGCTTGTCTACCACCATGCTCCCTGATGTAATGATATTGATT